TGGAAATGATTTGATGGTATTGTTGAGTTTTTTGGTGAAAAGGGAAGTAGGATCTTCTTGTAGTTCTTTGTAGTAGATAGTGTCAGAAAGCTGTCTCTTGGCTTCCTTTGTGTAATCCTCACGGTTTAGGATGACTATGGCTCCTCCTTTATCTGCTGGTTTTATTACTATTTGGTGGTTGGATCTTAGAGATTCTATGGCCTTTTTCTCTGGTAGAGAGAGGTTGTTGTGGTGGCATGTGTTGCTGATTATTTCATTGTTCATTCTCTCCCTGAAGCAGTCAATGTAGCGGTCAAGGTTAGGGTTTCGTCCACTGTGAGGTGTCCAATCTGATGTTTTTTGGGCTTTTTGGCATTGATCCTTTCCTAGATGTTGTCAGAGGATGAGTTGTTGGGAGTGGGTTCATTTTGGTCGTGGAAATATTCTTTGAGGCACAGGCGTCAGAAGAATTCTTCTAGTTCTCCACATTGAAGTGGAAAATACCCTAATAAAATACTTCAATGTGGAGAACTAGAAGAATTCTTCTGACGCCTGCACCCAAGGAACCTTGTCTGCCTCAGTCACTCCCAGATATTCTTGAACAGTTAGATACAGAATTTGTTACGCTGTAGTCCTCAGGGATAGCAACTGATTTTAATAACCAATTGTCTATTTTTTATAGGACATCAGAATTTCTCTCTGAAGATTTGGGAAGGGAAAGCAACCACCTTCCAGTGATGTACAGATATTAATGAAGGAACCATTTTCCCTCCCTCCATAAAGATAGCTACAGAGAAGTGCCAATCTAAAAACCATTTGGTGAAGGTGGCTTCTGTGTAGAAAGGCCATCTGTCCTATAGTGGGGAAAAATGACTGCCCACACTGCATGTTTTATGGGCTTAGACTGAGACTGTAACTCTCCAGGATGTTTGATGTGCTTTCTTAACTTCCATGACCTTTCTGATGGCCTTGGGGAGTTTCATATTCATAATGCAACCAAGTGAGGTTTCACCAGTTTTCTGATTTTACTAGGAAAGGTCAGACTGACTAGGCTGATCTCACCTCAGTTCATGGGTTACATAAGCAGTCAGACCCAGTCAATAGTGGCTGGGCAAGCTCCCCAGGACTGCAGAGAGTTGCATGGGTGCATCTTCCTCTGGCCCCACTGTGGTGTGCATATGTCAAGAGGGTGCCAAAAAGAAGCTTAAATCACAGTGGAAGGAACTCTAACTCACTTAGACACTTAAGAAAAGCCAAAGACATTAGGCTGAAAACAGATGTTGGATTTTTCCCAGGACTCAGCCATATATCCTGGGATTTACAGGCAGCCAATCCTACAGCTCCACCTGAAGTACCTGTGAGGTATCCAAATGACACATTCCAGGGACAATCATGGCTAATTTTTTAGTTAATCGCCATTCAATCCACATGTATAAATGACTATCCTCCACCTATTTTAATGAGAGTCAAGTCAGACCTAGATTAAACCCAGCTTCTGTTTTTATCTTCAGTATATATGTAAGAGGTGACAGGCAGTTTCACTGAAGGCAGAGTAGATTTGCACCTTATGGACTAACCATAATATATGTGTATACACACACACACACACACACACAAATACATGTATGTATGTATGTATATAGCACAAGCCTTTGTGGGCTGAAGCTCACTTCATCAGAGGCAGTTGTATGATAGCCCATTGTGAAAACCTCAGGAGCAAAATTCTGCTTCTCAGTCAGAGTCCCCCCTTTCACTGCCTGTATCACAAGTAGCCATAAATATAAGGCAGAAACACAGACACTATCCTGGGGGAAGGGAGGATCTTTTTAAACTAAAGACACATTTCTCATATTTTCATGTAGCATAGAGTATCTTTAAGCTGAAGAGGTAGAAGGAATGGGAAGGGAGATCACATGAGTGCACAGCAAGTTTCCTTATTTAATACAGTACAGAGGGCATGTCTATATGAGATGCTTTACTGCTCAATAGAGCAAATTACTCGGCGTGTCTACATGTGCACATTTACTATGCAGTAACCAAAATTACTGTGCAGTATGGGTATGCATCTACACATGCATGCCCATACTGCAAAGTAAATATGGTGATTTACACTGACTTGAGCATAAATTTGATACCTGCATGTAGGTATCAAATTTATGCCCAATTAGTTACTGCGCAGTAACACACTTGTAGATGCCTTACTGCACAGTAACACTGTGTGTGGACTACCTTGGGACTAACTTTAGTCCCAAATTAGTCCACACAGTGTTAATACTTTTTAATGCCTGCATGTGTAGATGCAGTCCTGTTCCTGCTTACTGCACAGTAGTTTACTGCACAGTAAATTTAAGCTATAAATGCACATGTAGACATGCCCACTGTGTAGTAAGTGTCACAGTCTATATGTACAGACCCTTACTGCATAGTAATTTGGTCTTCTCAGCAGTTAATTTGCTACCTGAAAATGCAAGTAGCAAATTAACTGCTGAGTAAAATTACTCTGCTGTAAGGCACGTGTAGATAGCTGACCAGGAGCAAATTTGCTCTGTCAGCCAGGCACCAGGGGGCAGGAAATTGCTCCCTGTTCCTGGAAGCTGCCTGCTGCCAGGGCAGGCCCTGCAACTGGAGTTTGGGCAGGGACAATGAATTTCCAGCCACTGCTCCATGATCCCCAGGGAACTTCCAGCCACTGCTCCATGATCCCCACCAGCAGATCAGGACAGGGGGCTGGGACTTGCCTCTTCCCTGCAGCTCTTTCCAAGCCCCCTGCGTCTTGTTAGGGAGCTGGGCCAGGAGCTCCCTGCTGCTGAGGCAGGGAGACATTGTCCCTCCCGGGCTCTGCCACTGGAGCCTGCCCTGGCAGCAGCCAGCTCTCAGGGGCAGGGAGCAATCTCCTAGCCCTCTGCCAGAAGATAGCTGTCTCCTGTCCCCATGCTCCATGCCAGCCCTTGAGCTAGCACCCAGGGGGATCCTAGAGCTCCCCCTGGCTGCTGCAGGGGGGCAGAGCAGGGTGGGAGCAAATCTGCTGTCATACATGCATGTGTAGATGCCTGCCCATGGTGGGTTTACTCCAGAGTAAATTACTCTGGAGTAAATTCATACCACAGTATTTGCACATGTAGACATGCTCACCAAGATCAAACAGCATCTCTCTCCTGCTATGTAGTTGCTCCTGACTCCAAAGTTCTGTAATGAGCAGGAAACTTCCTTATTGCAGTGCGGTGGGACTGTCCATCTTTGAATAGTACGTGCATGCACAAAGGGCACTTCCTCATGTCTAAAAAGGCTGCAGCTTTCTGGGTAGGTATATGAATTTCTCTCACCATGCAGTATAGGTCCAGTTCTACCCTGTGCATAAAACAATGGACATTTTTCATTAACACTGCTGGAACCAGAGTATGGCCCTTTAATTATTCTAGGTAGGGGGTAGGGAGAAAATAAAAGTTTAGATTGGATCAGTATGGGCAATACTGGCACAAGGGGTATTGACTTCAGAAGTGGCAGCAGTTCTGTGGTTACAGCAGTGTCCAGGTCTTGTCTGGGAGATGAGGAGGGCAAACCATTGCATCTTTCCCTGACTCAGTGCTCCTGTCCAGGGAGTGGTCACAGACTGTCCAGCCATTGGTGTGCTGTGCAGTCTGATGACTGGCACTATAGAGATGTGCTCTGGGATCTGCCACTTGCCTTCTGGGTGACATGGGGTACTGACCTTCTTCAACACCGATGGGTGACAAGTGCTGACAGGCCCTCAGCCCAGTGACCTGTGCAGACCTGAGTTTCATCTTTCCTCTTCACTGGCCATGTCTACACAAGATTACACAAGATGGTTACTGCATAGTAGCTTATTACTACTGCACACTGGTTTGTTAATACTATGCAGTAGCATCTCAGGGCACAAACCATGACATGACGCTACTGTGTAGTAGTAACGAGTTACTGCGCAATAGTAACGGGGTACTGCACAGTCAGCATCACCTGGAAACTGTGGGGATGCTACTGTGCAGTAATGCCGGTTATTGTGCAGTCATTTAGTACTTGGGTATGCAAGTAAATGCACAGTAACAACTGCATGATCAGCATCTCATGTAGACGCGGTCACTGTGAAAAAGATGAGACTTAGTTCCCTTTCTGGCTTTCTTAACACCAGTAGGACTCACACATACTGGCAGGAGAATAGAGCCCTGCCTAAGAGTCTCAGACTTCCCTGGCTACCTGGATCTTACAGATTGGCTCATCATAGTTTCATAGTTTCATAGTTTTAGGGTCGGAAGGGACCTAATAGATCTTCTAGCCCGCCCCCCCGCCAGGGCGGGAGAACAACAAAAAACCCTAAAAACAAAAACGGGACTCAGGTAGGTCCAGCCAGGTAGGCATCCAGCCTCTTCTTAAAGACCCCCAGGGTAGGGGCCAGCACCACCTCCCTTGGAAGTTGGTTCCAGCTCCTAGCCGCCCTAACTGTGAAGTAGTTTTTTCGGATGTCCAATCTGTACCTCCTCTCCATCAACTTGTGCCCATTACTCCTTGTTATGCCAGCGGGGGCTAGGGGAAACAGCGTCTCCCCCAAACCCTTCTGGTTCCCCCTAGTGAGTTTATAGACGGTCACCAGGTCCCCCCTCAGCCTTCTCTTGTGGAGGCTGAATAGGTTCAGGTCCCGCAGTCTCTCACTGTAGGGTCTGCCCTGTTGTCCCCGGATCATGCGGGTGGCCCTCCTCTGGACCCTCTCCATGTTGTCCACATCCCTCCTGAAATGGGGCGCACAGAACTGGACACAATACTCCAGCTGCGGCCTGACCAGCGTCGCATAGAGGGGGAGGATCACCTCCCTGGCTCTACTCGAGATGCACCTGTGGATGCACGACAAGGTCCGGTTAGCCCTGCCAACCATGACCTCGCATTGTCGGCCCATGTTCATCTTGGAGTCAATAATGACACCAAGATCCCTTTCCGCCTCCGTGCTCTCAAGTAGGGAGCTCCCCATCTTATAAGTGTGCTGCTGGTTCCTTCTACCCAAGTGCAGCACCCTGCACTTGTCCGTATTGAAACGCATCCTGTTCCTGTTTGCCCACCCCTGTAACCTATCCAGATCCTTCTGCAATCTCTCTCTCCCTGCTAGCGTGCTCACCTCCCCCCAAATTTTGGTGTCATCAGCGAATTTAAACAGGTTGCTTTCCACCCCAGCATCAAGATCGCTGATGAAGAAATTGAACAGCGCAGGCCCCAGGACCGAGCCCTGGGGGACTCCACTACCCACCTCCCCCCAAGTCGAGTATGATCCATCCACCACCACCCTCTGAGTGCGACCCTTCAGCCAATCTGCAATCCATCTGACCGTGTAGGCATCTATGCCACAGTCGCCTAGTTTATTAATTAGGATGGGGTGAGAGACGGTGTCAAAGGCCTTGCTGAAGTCCAGAAAGACTACATCCACCGCGACACCTGCGTCCATGGCCTTTGTGACCTGATCATAAAAGGCAATCAGGTTGGTCTGACATGATCTCCCCCTAATAAATCCATGCTGATTGCCCCTGAGCATCATCTCGGATGCCGGCCCATCACAAATGTGCTCCTTGATGATCTTCTCAAAGAGCTTCCCCAGGATTGAGGTAAGACTGACGGGCCTATAATTGCCCGGGTCCTCCCTTTTCCCTTTTTTGAAGATGGGGACCACATTAGCTACCTTCCAATCGTCTGGCACCTGGCCCAAGCACCACGATCGCTCGTAGAGCCGTGCCAGGGGCCCTGCAATAACCCCAGCCAGCTCCCTCAGCACCCTGGGGTGGAGAGCATCCGGACCCGCTGACTTGAACGTGTCCAGCCCCTCCAGAAGCTCTCTAACCCGGTCCTCCCCAACCTGAGGTCTGAAGGCGATCCCCTCGCGTCCGATCAGATGCTGATACCAGTATATGTCATTGCCTCAAAGACACAGTGGTGGTCTCAGTCAGTTTTTGCAATGATATTCATGGCTACAAAAGACAGATGGGCTGTTTGCTGCTTTCTCTGCATCCAGCCAGCAAGGGCTGGATACAGGCATGGGTGAACTGGGTGGCCATCTGGGGCTCGGACAGAAAGGGGGTCTGAAAATCGTAATTTTTTGATTATTATTATTATCATTATCTCTGGCAAAGGGGGGCCTGATACTAAAAGTTCACCCAGGGCCACCAGGAGTCTAGGTACAGTGCTGCCTCCAGCATACTGGGCCACCTCAGCCTGAGATTAGGTAGGGCTGGTTTAGCCAGCTGGGCTGCATTCAGAACCCAGCATTTTTCTGCCTTTCCCCATGCATTCTACATATGTTAACAGAAAAGTTTCCGTACCTGCCACTGGGCTGAGAGTATCAGGTCAACCAAACTCACTGATTCAGAGCCATGCACTTGAACTCCCCGAGTTACTACTTTAAACCCTTTGTCAAGGAGCTGCAAATTCCTGCAGCTGCCTTTCCTTACACTTTGCTAATTTGATTACCCACTTCAAGCTTATCAACATTGTGAAAGGAGCAACTCCTGGAATCAAGAGGCTTGAGCGTGCCCTGCCCACACCTCACTACTCAGGCCTGCAGGCACACTCCAGACCCAAAAGCAAACTATAGGCCTACTCTGGGCTTAACCCTCTGTGTCAATTCTTGAGTTCTCCATATCCAGTGCACCTAAGAGCAGCCACTGAGGTTAATCCCAGAGCAACCTCATTGGTATACTTCTAGGTTTACTTCTAGGCATGTAAACAAACATAAGAGGGCCAGGGGTGGGTAAGCATCTTGCTGTAGGTTCACTGCCTCTGCAGTGGAGATAAACCATTCACTGGTTGTGTAATATATTGGATTGTTCTTTCATTTATAAGTCATCTTTGTGCAGGATTTACTTAGTAACCCACCCAATTCATCTACCAAGCTTCACATGCTGAAATACCTGTCTACCTCCATGGTGGTGATTTGGTGTAGGAGATGGGGGGGGTTTTGATCTCAGGGCAGGTTTTTGGTTTTTATCCATAACTATGACCTCATCAAATCCAGGGCAGGCCATGTACAAGTAAAGGGTGCACTGTAAGATCACTGGCCTGGGACTCAGGAGATGTGGTTCATTTCTTGGCCCTGCTATGGGCCAGTTGGGTAACCTTAAGTCACATCAATTCTCTATTCTTTTGTTTCCTCATTGACTTTTTTCATGAGCACACATACACAAGCACCAAACAGGGCATTGCTGTTCCAACTACACACAGTGAGCATGGCTCCAGTGGGTGGGTAGGTTACTGAGTCACTAGTAAGCCTTATTTCACTGAAGATGGTTAATAATAATCACATTTCACAGCTGAGACAACTATATAAGCAAGAAGCTATGTGGGAGGAAACCTCTCTAGAGACATGGCTCTTAGGAGACAATGCATAGGAAATGTTTTTAGCCCATGAGGTTTGAAAGAAGCTGAAGGAAGTTATGTGGTAGTCAGTGGAATTGGCTAACCCAGGGCATGCACATACAAACAAGTTACTGCAAAGCAAAAGGGGACAGGGCTTTACTGTGTGTCAGCTGCCTTGCACTAGCTGCTCAGGTACATGCTCTTATCCTGTGATAAGTGGAAGCTCAGTGCCAAGTAACAGAACACAGTACAAGTTTCAACACAGAGCACTCTGTTCCTTCCAATGACCAGCACCTTTTCCCCCCATGCCTCAGGGAAGGCTCTGGGCCTGTTTATCAAGTATGGTCCCTGCATGTGGAGGGGGATTATAGTCTAATCTTCAGTAACTGCATAATGGAACTCTTCCTTCCTTACACCCCACAGCACAAAACAGACACCAAACCAGTGGCCCTAAACTCTTCTGTGTTGATAAAGATTTTCTAGGATTAAATGAAAATTTCTAATCATCAGTCATTGTAATTCCCATCATGCTAATCTTCCTGAGGACAGCTTTGCTCCCTAGCATACAGATATCAGGTTGGATTCTTACTAAGAAAAAGCAGTCATAATGACACTTACTCCTAACATTTGCCTATGGTCTCTTTTAAAAGCTGAAATAAATAGGAATAAACCTAAAAATCATCAGTGTCATTACTGAGTTGTATCCCAGCTGCTCACCTGTAACTGCATGGTTGTTTCCACTTGAGTTGAATTCAGACAGAAAGAGTGGAGGCAGATCCTTCTGTTTCTCTGGGAGGAAAGGGGCTGGTAAAAAAATAAACAAATGGCAAGTGCCAGGCCTATGGAAGATGACCCTTGTTGGATTCAGTTGGAGTAAGAATTTGAGAGTGTGATGAGATTGAGAAGAAAACCTGTGATTTTTTTTCTTCCCTTCCCCAGCCCTTCCTTTCCAGAACAGGAGCCCTGCCCTCAAACAGGTTCTCCCTTTGCTGGGGAAATGTCAAGACCCACCTCCAGCTTCATAGATACCTGACACCTGTGAACCAGCCATTCCTCTCTGCTGCACAGTGACTCACTGCTGAGAAATGTAAGCAGATACTCTGAGACAAAGGGTTAGGTCTTAGCAACACATGTTTTTTTTTTACTCTAGAGCTACAAACAGACATCATCTCTGTGCTGCCATAAACATTTTTATGGCAGCGCAAAACCCAGGGTAACAGACGTTTTAGCCCTTTGTCACACTACAAATAAGCATGATGATTTCTAGTGGTAGTTTATGCCATTTCTCATAGCTGACATCTGTTTGCTGCCTGCACTCTCCAACTGCCCCAGGTAGGCGGGCCCGGGGCTTCTGGGGGGGACGCCCACAAGTGCAAAAGGAGAACCTAGGACACATCCTGGCACAGCTGATCCCACTCCAAACATGATGTCTGTTTATACCGTAAAGTGCCATATTAGTGCCATATACCGGTATGATTATTCCTTTTCTCATATGGAATTTCACAGACACATAGAAACCAATACAGCTAGTCTTCCCTCACCCAACATCTGATATCAGAATGTAGCCAACAGACTGATCCCCAAAGGCACAGCATGTCGCACTTGCCACTGTTCAAGGAAATATGGGGTCCAGCCCACCACTGACTGTGAAGTAATGGCCCTATATGAACAGTGCTGCATGCTCTCCATCCAGCTGAGAATGTTACCAGCTCACTATGGAAAAGAGCAGTGGAAAATACTTCTACCACTGCCAAGAACTGCCCCACCATCACCAGGCAAGATGGACAGCTACCTACCCTTGGGCTCCCACCCTAACCCTGGAGCCAGTTTAACTGTTTCAGGTCTGAAGTTGTTTTCTGTGTCAAGATCGATTGTGCCTGTGGCATCATGGACTGCCGTTGGAGAACCTGTGAAGGATGCCAAACGCATCTGTGATTGGATGACTGCTCTTTCCTGGACATCATGAGCTGAACACTGCTGATACAGAGGTCCTATATTGGCTAATGACCAGTGAGCCATTTTGTTGGTTTGTTTATTGTGTGTGTATGTTTTAAGTTGTGCCTGGCATGTTTTGCTAACACACACTCACTCTCATTTTATATATCTACAAAGACACAGACAGACATTAGTATCACTCTACAGCAGTGATTCTCAACTAGAGGGCTGACATATTTTTAAACATGCCATAGCATACTGCACAATATTAGGATCATAGCATCATAGGAAAGTAGAGCCGGAAAGGACCTCACAGTGTCATCCAGTTCAGTTCCCCACTCAAAACAGGATCATCCATGACTAAACCATCCTAGCCAAGTGTCTGTCCAACCTGCTCTTGACAGTTTCCAGGGATGAAGATTTCACACCCTCCATCACCTGTATACCAGAGAACAAAGCTGCTTGATCACCCTCATAGTCAGAATGATCACCCTCATAGCTGCTTGATCACCCTCATAGTTCCTGCTAATCTCCGAAGACACAATTGGACTAACATGTCACTGTGTGGTTACCCATAGGAAGTATAGCCCTCATTACAGGAAGATCAGGCTTTTATATGTGGTGGGCATGCCAGTAGCAGCCCGGGTTGCTGACTCAAAAGGGCTTCAAGCCATTGGTGGGGCATTCCCACCAATCAGGTGGTGATGAAGGAGAGGCTACCCCACCCCTGTGAGGCGAAGAGCCTGGACTTGCATGCAGGCTATACTTCCCCTCACCCTGATTGGTCCTCTCACAATCTGGGGGCAGAGCCTCCAAAAGGTATAAAAGAACAGTGTGCCTGGTCCTGCTGTGTCAAGGGATGAAGAAGAGAGCAGGACTAAGAGGAGCTGGGGAGAGCTTCCCAGCAGGGTGGAACAGTAGCTCTGAAGAGCCCAAAGACCTCCTTGCTGGCGAGCAGTGCAGCCTACAGCCTCGCCACTGAGAAGCATGACGGCAGTGCACAGTTACATGAATGGAGTCAGACCCTGGGAGCTGTATGAGGCAGCTTGGGTCTGCATCCCCTGGCGTGCGGCCAGATGCATGGTGCACAAGCGGTGCATGGAGCAGAGACCCTGGGAGCTGCACAAGGCGGCTTAGGTCCACAACTCCTGGCATGAGGCCAGGGGCTCGGTGCAGGCAGTGCTGCATGGTTGGTCCAAGAGGGACCAGGATCCTGGAAGCTGCACAAGGCAGTTTGAGTCCCCAGCCCCTGGAAAGCAGGCAGGATTTTGATGCAGGTGTGACGGGCTAGCTGGCAGTGACCTAGCCCAGGGGTTTTGAAAGGGCAAAAGATGATTGGAGGACTTGGGGTTCCCTTTTCTCACCAATCAGGCCCCAGAGATTCACCCCTCATGTCCCCTGATTGACCCTTTGGGTCACCTGGAGGGGGATAAAAGGGGCAGCACGGCTGACTCAGGAGAGACCAGTGAGGGACTATGAGGAAGGAGCTGCAAAGAGCTGGCAAGAGCTGAGCCAGTGGGGCGGAAGCAGTTGCCCCAGAAGAGCCTGAAGGAGCAGGACCTTCAGTCAGCGGTTGGACCCTCAGCAGCACGGCGTGTGGTCGGCAGGAGAGGCTTCCTTCTGGGCTCCAGGATCCCCTATGAGAGGCTGTGGCCAGCAGGAGGATCTGAGCAGTGACCTGAGGTGTTCCCAGCTCGGCTTCCAGCTCCTCCAGTCAGAGATCAGGCAGCTCGACGTGAGGCCGGGGCTCCAGGAAGGTCAAGACCCCTAGCAGCTTGGAGCAATACTAGCACTGGTGGCTGTGTGGCAGTGTTTCTGCCTTCCACGTTGGGAGATCTGAGTTTAAGTCTCAGCTTTGGTGACTTGGGGTGAGTGAGCTAACAAGGAGCAATTCTTCTTGCAGTAGAAAGGAGCCATTGGGTTTTCCACCTTTCTCCCCCTCCAGGTACCTAGGCCCTATATTTCTTTGACATTTGGTATTTTGTGCCTTTTTATTTCCCCAACCAGTATTGTTTGCTCTGCTATTTGTGTTTTATATTTTGTTAACCCTGTCTTTTGCCAGTGATTGTAAGTGTTTAACCTTTGTTGAATCCTGCCCCCTTGGGGCATTTTGGTGTCCACTATACCCCCTGATTATGCCTGTTATGTTCCTGGTATTGTCCCCTCATTAAAAGGTATATGGTTAAGTCCCCAGTGGTGGTCTGGCTCTATAGGGGAAGGAGAGTCCCTACACCTCCCTCAGCGCTTGTGCACCTGCTTTGATCCCTTCAATTGGAGACGGGTACCTTTTGGAGTACTGCCCGGGTTACACAGGGATGGTGCACGGCGCGGTCCAAGTGGGACTGAGGCCCTGGAGCCATATGAGGTGGCTCAGGTTTCCAACCCCTGGCATGAGGCCAGGAAGACTCAGTGCAGGCAGTGCTGTACGGAGAGTCTGGGAGAGGGCCCAGACCCCAGGAGCCACGTGGGGCAGCTGAGGTCTATAACACGCACCTTGCATGAGGCCAGGCATTAAAGCTGAAGTCTTGCATGGAGTGCCCTGGTTGAAACCGAGACCCCAAAACCCTGCAAGGCAGTTCGGGGCCCCAACCTCAAGCAGAAGAGTAAAGCACTTGGTGCACACCACAGTGCACAGGGTCACCAGTGGCTGGCAGGCCCAGAGGGAGCCAGAGACAGCTGGAGCCTCAGGAGGAGCGGCAGTAACTCGCCAGGATAGAGTCGAGGACCCTCCACCAAGGTGCCTAGAGTTGTGAGTTCCTAGGGAAGGGGCATTCCCACAGGGGAGGGGGAATCCACCCAGATGGAGAAGCCAACCACTGAAGGAGAATCCCAGAAGGCCAGGGCTCCCCAACTTTAAAGTTTTATTTTGGGTTAGAGAATATTTTAATTGGGCTGGGGAAAGCCTAAAGGGCACCGGGGGAGCTTCTCTCCCACCTTGCGGCCACAGGAACGCAGCCAAGGCTCCAAAATAGCCTGGGCCTTGGGGTTCCTAAAAGAGTTAATTATATTCAAGAGTTTTGCACCTTATATTTTGTGAGTGGGTGCCAGATATTGTGTAGTTTATTTTTCATGTTTTATAAGTGTAAGTTAATAAAGTCTAAAATTATTGAGTTATATTGAAATCTTCAATATTATGAGGCTAAGTATTTGATAGAGTATATATGTAGATTTATATTTAATATCTAAGTAGATTTAAATTTTGATAGAGTTTGAGGTTATAAAACACTTGTTGAAACTTAGGTTAGAATTTTATTATAATAGTTAACTGTATGCTGAGAGAGGTTATAAAACTGTGTAAATATTGCCTTTAATCCTTGTTATTGTAAATGTTGTGTGTGTATACACACTTTTCATCTTTTTTCTTATTTATATTGTAATATTAATAACCTTGTATATATTTAAGTTATAGAGTGTGTTGGTCTGTCTCTCTATAGGGGAAAGAGGAAACTGTATGCTGCCAGCAGTTTTCCCACACAACACACCTGCCCTGCTAGCATCTTTCTTCAATTGGAGAAGGGAGTACACGACCAGGTACACCCCAGCTACATACATTTTTTTCTGAGTATATCTTCCTAAACTCATATTTGCATAGCCATAGAGCCATTGGCCAGGTTCTCCTTTTAGCTGTGCTTACCAAAGCAACATACAATATGGTACAGAGAGGTTTGTATTCCTTCTGGTCTTACTTTTTCTGGAGGGACAGTGCTCATCACAGTTAGTGCATCTTTGCATTGAATGGCATGAGAAGAGCCAAATCCGGAGCCCCGGGTCTGAGTCACTGGAAGTTCTGAGAAGACAGGCTTACTTGTGTGGTATTTCCTGAAATATGTCAGTGGCCAGCTCTTCCCTGTCAAGCTGTCTGTCCAGACTGCACTCATTTCTGACACCCCAGTAAGTCAGGATGGAGTCTAAGACATTCAGTTGGTATGGATCCTTTACCCTATGATTGCAAAACAAATGGGCTGTTGTACTTTGGCACAGCATAAAGGATTATAATGTGTTGTACTTGGCACTTGGCA